AACGGGAGAGGCCACAACAGTGAGAGGCCCGCGTACCGCAAGAAACAAAAAAAAAAAAAAAAAAAGATGATATGCCTCGTAACTTATAAGATTTTCCCTTGAATGTTGAAAATGTGTATTCTTTTCTTTTTTTTTCTTTAAAGAAAAAAGGCCAAAGTCTATTGAACAGGCCTTAATATAGGCCTTTATAAATGCTTTCTGTCCTAAAATTCCTTTATAATAATAAAAGGTTTCCCTCATGTCGAGTTGTTATATACCTACATTTACATTAAACAATAAAGTACGACCACAATATCTACCTATGGTTAATTATACACCCAATCACCTCATATCCCATACCTGACAGAGTGCCTACTGTATCACAGGTCCACAACAAATATCTGACTTAAACAGTTAAATAAAACTAATTGAAGTATCTTGCTCTCAAACTTACACAGGCTCTTTGGTTTATTAACATGGTATCAATAGTTTCAAATACAGAAAGGGGCTTCTGGTTGTCCATGGAGTAATTAACTATATAGCCTTTCAAAATACAGGGCAGGTGCCCTACCCTAGTTTGCCCCATCAAGATTCTGATTCAGGGGCTTCCCTGGTGGCGAAGTGGTTAAGAATCCGCCTGCCAGTGCAGCGGACACGGGTTCGAGCCCTGGTCCGGGAAGATTCCCACATGCCGTGGAGGAACTAAGCCCGTGCGCCACAACTACTGAGCCTGTGCTCTAGAGCCCACGAGCCACAACTACTGAGCCCATGCGCTACAATACAACTACGGAGCCCACATGCCTAGAGCCCGTGCTCCGCGACAAGAGAAGCCACCGCAGTGAGAAGCCCGCGCACCGCAACGAAGAGTAGCCCCTGCTCGCCGCAACTAGAGAAAGCCCACACACAACAACAAAGACCCAACGCAGCCAAAAATAAATAAATAAATAAATTTTCCAAAAAGGTCCTGATTCAGTAGATCTGAGGTACTGCCAATTGCATGGGTATTCTGAAAAGATTCCGCTAGTGACCATTTCACATCCCTGGTTAAGAATGACTGACTGAGCCCACTAAGACATTTAGTTTTGCATAACCTGAACACACCCTATTAAAGTACACCTAAGGGTATGCCAAGGAGAGGCAGAAGAAAAGCAATCTCTAATTCAAATTTCTTCCAGATTTTCATACATTGATGGTGTGACTATAAAAAACTGGTTTATTTTAACTTCTGGGGTTGATTGTAAATGCACATTATCTTTTGACCCAGCAGTGCACTTCGAAAGGTTAGTCTACGGACACATCACAGTGCTTGATACATGTTAAAGGCCAGTCACTGAATCATTGTTTGTAGACGTCAAAAGACTGGAAACAATTCAATGCTGATCAGGATGTAACTGGTTAAAGCAGTGACACATACAAACATAAAGTGGAATAGCGTGCAGGGGAAGAAAAGAATTAAATGAGGAAAGCTCTTTATGTAAAATGGAACAGTCTCCAATACTGTAGAGTGATTTTTTCTGGCCGTGCTGTGCAGCATGTGGGATCTTAGTTACCCGACCAGGGATCGAACTCATGCCCCCTGAAGTAGAATTGCAGAGTCATAACCCCTGGACCGCCAGGGAAGTCCCGAGTGTTTTTTTTGTTTTGTTTTTTTTTTTAAGAGGATTCATAAACGGTGTACACTGTGTGCTATGTTAAAAGAGGGAAAAAATACACATATCTGCTTATATATTCAAATATCTTTGTAAGAACATAGCAAAAAATAGTATAGTAATATTGTTTCTGGGAGGGGAAATGAATGGTCAGGGGACAGGGTTTGGAGGGAGAGACTTTTCACTATATACCCTTCTGAACTTTGAACCACATAAACATATTAATATGCAATACTTTTAAAAAGGTTAAAAGTGAAAATGATTTTACATAAGAGCAACCTCAAAAGGCTATTATTCACTCATTGTTGCATAAAAGGTCAGAATACTAATGATGCCAAAACCAAAATATGGTGGTTGGGTGGTCACACTTTGGCACCCAAATGAGTAATACTGAACAACCCTATTTAAGATATTAAATGCATTACCTAGAGATCCGTTTGTAGCTAAGTCAGTAGGATACAGTTTTACTCAATACTGAGTGTGTAAATGAGTCCTGTCAAAGCTCTATCTCAGCAACATCTGGCTTCAGGATCTTCTAGGCCAAGGGCCCATCTTCCTGCCAGGCTGCATATAACACCTTTGTATTTAACCTGTTTAAAGTATTTGAACAAACTCAGAGCTGTTCGCTAAGAATCTCACCCTCCTGCAGCTATCTTCCTCCAAAAACAAGGAGACAACGCCTACGGGTTAAGAATGCAAACCCGGCTCTTCAGTTTTCAGAACAAAATACCATTTTGTCATCTATATACCAAGTAACCTGAAAAAACAGCTGTTTTTCAACTAACACAAAACACCTGACAACCTTCTGAGGTCTGAACTGTCTTGCCATATGGTCCCTGTCACAAGCAGACACATGTTCCTACAGAAGAAAGGCGGTGCCATGCCTCTCAGGCATTTCCCATGCAGCCACCTTCTCAGCAGGAAGAACGGACTCGGAATCACGGCAAGATTGAGGGGCGGAAGCAAACTGTGCAAAGTACAGAACTTCTTCCAGGTCTCAAGTTTTACGTTTAAAAATGCCCGCAAATGTTACATTCTACTCTGCAGTGAGTCTTGTTTTAGTATAGAAATGGTGTTTCAGCATAGAAAATGAAAATTCCAAGCTCTTCCCCTTGAATACCTTCTTCACAAATCTCTTAAAGTTTACTGATATTTATTGTATAGTTTGGAGTTCTCCCACGATACTGCCCTAGTTGGATAAGCCTCATTGTCTCAAATTATCCAGGTTTCTAAGTTCCATTTTAAATAAAATAATTTAAAAAGCTATAAAACATAGTAGTTCTCAGCAACTAAGAGAGATATAATTCATCTTTTTATCGTGCAATGTACTGTGGCACTCTGCAATTATGTGACACAATTGATTGTATCATTCCAAAAGTTAATGTCCCCCCCAACACCATACTAGGTTATATATCATACTTTTTTTTTTTGGTACTCTCACTGAGTTTTGAAGGCAATTGAGGCATTCAGTAAGCTCATGACTGACCTCAAGCTGAAAGAGATACTCAAAAAGTATTCTGTTACATTAAAAATTATTGACTCTCAGTGGGAATTTAATGCATCAAGAGAAACGCACTGTTAATATTAAAACAGTGTATTTTAGCACTTAAAGCTAGGAATCATTCCAAACTAGAAACCTCAATAATTAAAGTGATTTCTCGATGGTAAGTTGAATTAAATATTTTCAAAAGAGTGTTGAGCAGCCATAATGCCCCTGACATCCTTTTATAAGGGCAAAGTGTATTACGCCATAATTCAATATTCTAATTAAGGTGTTTTAGGGACTAATTCACACAAAGCAACAGAATCACAACTCAACTGGACTTACCATGCACGGTCAAGTACTCCACTATGCGCCCCACGATAGCTGGAACGCCGTTCTCAGTCAGCCCCTGCTGGTGGAGGTCCTGGAGACTGACTCCAAATAACTTGGTGTAGGTGGAATTCCTCTGCTCGTTTAGTGGCACTGTCACAACCTTTTTCATGTCTTCTTTCAGCCGAACTGCTGCGTTACTTTGCTTGAAATAGCGGAAGAAAAAAGAGCAGTCAGTCACGTTTACCACAGGAGGCTGCATGGTCACTACAGAATCACCTGAATCAAAGGGTACGCGTTTGGAGGCTCATAGAGTAGTGGTCTTCACTTATTTTTACTTCAGCTCAAACCCAAATCCCTAACATCCCTCACGTGCTGCTCAGTGTGTTAGGAATGGTGCACACTGATACAACGGTTAAAAGGAGTGAAAAATAACGAGGAACATAAAGCCACAACTTCAGCGTAGCTAAGAGAGGGAACAATACACGGCAGCGTCTAAGATATATTACTACAGTAACCAGGGTGTGACTCACAAGTGCCTCGTTAACAGGAAAATAAGACACTTATCAGCACGCCCGAAACCCCATGCAGATCCTGAAATAGTAAGATGTTACTGAGGACGAAAATTTATCTCAATGTCATCTTAAGGGAGCTTTAATTTGAAGGATTAGAAAAAAAATATGTATGTGTAGAATGAACATTTCTTTCTCTGATTTGATTATATCTGAATATCTCAGGAATATTTTGGCACATAAAAATCAACTCAATTTTCTTTGAAGTTCAAAATGCTATCATCTCCGAAAGAGCAATGTTTCAGGTAATCACAATTTTTAAAATTTCTATAAGACTGTCCATATTATAAACAAGAAATGCAATTTACAGTCAGTCAATTCAAGTTATCACCACACTGAAAACTTCATACAAAATTGTTTCTTCCTTTTAATAGAAAATTTTTCCCCAAGGAAGTATTTTAAAAGATAAATTTTAATATGGTTTAATAAAACTAAATGAGGGATTTTTTATTTTTAAAAACAGCATGTGTCCTACATAAATGTATGTATCTGTAACTTTAAACACTGAAAAGATGGCAAAAAGCAAAAATTTTATTTGAGGACAGAGGAAGCAGATTAGGGGAAACACACCCTTTTTGAGAATGAATGCAGCAACTAACCTAAGTGTCAATATTATAAGTGTAGGCTCACGTAGCTGTTACAATCTAAAAGAAGAAACATTATCTCCATTTTAGAGATGAGGAAAGAAAGATCAAAGAGTTAAGAAGTAATTTGGTAAAAGTCATGGAACTGGTAAGAGTTTCATCATACTCTAAGTCCACGCTCCTTTCCTTAAATTTATATTAATGTTAAAGTGCAGTTTGTGTATAACACAAACTGTGATAAATTCTACATGTGACACATGACAATGACACGAAGATAATTCTACAGTTGTGATTTTTATAGGTTCCCTGTAGTTTCAATTTGATTTTGAATCTTACAATCTGTAGAATCAGGCCAACTTTCATGGACATCTCTGCATCTTTTAATAGGTCATATTTGAAAGCCAGATTTCCCTAGTGACAATTCAGCAAATGTATAAAGTTATAGAATAGATTTAGTTATCTATTAATATTATAAATAAGGTATAGTGTTAGCTACTGCAGAGTAGTCTGGGCAAGAACTATCATCTCTGTTACCAAGGAAGTTACTTAACTAAGTCAAATCTGTAACCACTACTATTTTCGTGTGTGTAAGTTTAAAAACCTATCAATACCTTTCAAAAGAACTCATGGGAAATTTCAGTCAACCAGGTCTATCTGGTGAGTAGGCAGCCAAAAAGCAAGCTTTAATAATGAAACTTTGAAAATAGTCTCAAATGTTGCATCAGAAAGAGCTGACAATGAGATTAAATCCTACATGTTTTAGCTTCTTATTTTCTTACAGACACAACATAGCAGAGTCGTTTAGAGCAGGGGTCCCCAACCCCGCCGGGCCGCGGACCATTACCAGCCTGAGGCCTGTTAGGAACTGGGCCATAAAGCAGGAGGTGAGCGAGTGCAGCTTTATCTGCGGCTCCCCATAGCTCGCATCACCTCCTGAACCATCACCCCACCCCGCCCGCCCCGTGGAAAAACTGTCTTCCATGAAACTGGTCTCTGGTGCCAAAAAGGTTGGGGACCGCTGGTTTAGAGCGTGGACTGTGGGACCAGACTCCATTTCGAATCCCATTCTGGTCTCATTAGCTGTGCAACCTTGGACAAGTCACTTACACCCAGTTTCCCCGTCTACGAAATGGGGATACCAGGAGTCCCTAGCTCACAGGAATATATAAGGTTGGAAGGAGCTCATAGACACAGAAGAATGAGAAGGGTGTCTGGCGTACTCAGTAAGTACTGATTGTTATTACCATCACCATCACCATCATCATCATTCTTCCAGGAAATTATTCCGATTTCTTCTCAAAACAATTGAGAGATACTTAACCACTCCTGTACTCAAACGTTTCCGTGGACTAAAGATTGCTGTTGAAGAAGGCACCATGGTCTAGGCCCGTGGTTGGTAGACAGTCTGACGACCTAATTATTCTCCGTGTATCTCAATCTCTTAAAATATATACGTATGACTTTTGAAAGATAAACATAAAATCATTTTGCATGTTAGTATCACAATTTCTCAAGTTTTTATTAGAAATTCAAGGTTTTCTTAGAAATCCTGTCTACCTGTGACATTCTTTCAGCTAATAGCCCTGTTTTATATTCTGTCCTTTACTCAAGTACAGTCACTATGTTGTGTCTCCTATTAATAGCATAAATAAGCAATCTTGGCATCACGGCTCAATATTTTCAAGGATGAGACATGTAATTAACCTCACACGTTTTGAACTGATTGCAAATTAAACTGTTTACTCAGTACAGAGCCATACTACAAAGCAAGTTTATATGTAATTATAGTAATAAAGGAACATCTGATTATGAATTGGTAATCTAATTTAGGTTAATACTTTTAAAAAGGTAAATATTGTTTTGTTTTGTTTGTTTGTTTTTTGGGGGTTTTTTTGCGGTACACGGGCCTCTCACTGCTGTGGCCTCTCCCGCCACGGAGCACAGGCTCCGGACGCGCAGGCTCAGCGGCCATGGCTCACGGGCCCAGCCGCTCCACG